TTTATTGGCACATACGTCCGACTACAACTATCCCATCTACCCTGAATAACCTTGATTTATACTTTTTACGCAAAAGAACTGTGTCAATTATCTGTGACTCCTGCTCGAAGAATAGGAGGTACAAACAAATAGCATAAAAACTACGATTGGAAAAATCGGAGGGAGAATCCCCCCCCCCCCCCTCTGTAGACATTATGGTTAAAAGCAGAACCAGAGCTATCACATATAGGCTTGACACAATTTTAAGCAACATTAACGATTTTCATCCAAAGATCGACGGCCCCTTGGCATATATGTACCATGTAAAGGGAGTACAGATATGTCAATGATGGATATTTCCGTTTGCCCTCTTTGTATCAATTTTGCTGTCAATAAATAATATCTAGTTTTATCCAGAATAAAGCATTTTAGATATCAAAATACTAGTTTTCTGTGATTTCGCTGACTGAATTCGTCAAAACTTCCACATTTTGCAGAATACCTGAAAATTAATTTCAGGATTTTGATATCTTAAAATTTGCTCAGAATTTCTATTTTACCCTTGCAGAATCTCCCTTTTTGCAGAGTTGTGTTTTTTTCATGCAGAAACAAGGCCTTTAATATTAACAGTTTTGAAAGTATTGATTGGACTGACTTTTAAACTTCCAACTCTCATGGGTTTTGATTTTCAGATATGGATGCTTTTGCGAGTTCGTCAGTAAAACGCGGCAAATAAAATGTTTCCATCTTCATCAAAGTGATCAGTGATTCCTATGATATATTTTTCAATGTTGGTTTTAGCTCTTTCCGCGGAGACCAACGAAGAATTTATCGATTGTCCAGAGAAGACCATTTCGGGAACATCGATCGTGTCCCCTTCCAATTTACAAACTTTGTATGACTTGCTTCATACTCCAGTTTCTTAACATGCCCACCCGTGCAGCCCGTCTGATATTTGCATAAACAATGTCTCGATTTATAAACTTATTTTTCATACATCAAAATCATTCTTCACACTATTGCAAATTTCGGGCAGTTCTGATATAGTTTCGTTTGTCCTCTTCATATCAGTGTCTTTGGATATATGATCATTAGAGCAGCTATGACAAATAATGGAGGTGCTGAGATCGGTGGGTAAGCTGATTCTGATAAAAATGTAGTGTTCTTTGTATTGTGTTGTTGACACAGTATAGTCCACTGAATTAAGTCCATCACAATGGTATCTGTCATATCCCTTATACAGCATACTAAACCTAGTTGTAGAATAAAAGTTAAATTGTACATAATCATGTGTAATGTGTAATAGAGCTAACCAGAATTTTCAGAAATGCCTAGTTAGTTAGGTTTAATGTTTTGTTTAAGAACGCATATTTTTACTTTTGAATATGTATTTTACTAATACTCTCCCACGACATGAATCTTCTTGATGAGACTATCAACTTGAGTTACTTTGCGTGATCATATGCAGGTTTAAAGTCAAGTGTTTTCCCATATAGTCTATACACCCTTTGCTGAAATCTTTACTTGCTCAGAAAAACTCAATGTGAACGAGTCTCATTAAGTATATGTGAAATTATTGATAGAACCCATTTTTAATAGTAAGAATAGGGGTTCTAGGACTCTAGGCTTGCTTTTTAGAACTTTTTGTTGGCTCTATAATTGTAAGCCATTGGCGGACAAAATTCTTTATTTTATTCAGATTCAGATATTCAAAATCGTGAACAAATTGTTTCTTATGACGGTGCCCTGTCTGACACCCAAACTGTTTCCCAGGGTGTCCCTCGGGGATCAATATGGAACACCTTTGCATTTTTCACACGTAGAAATACTCATGGTATATCATAATAGTAACGTAAAATAAATCCAAAACTATTGGACAAGAAACTAGGCATGATATGGAATGATGACTTCAGCTGAAATATTGTCACAGTAATCTTTGGAGACTTGCCGCTTTCTCGTCATAATCTATTCTAGTCTATTTTTTTAAAATTCAGTTACATACAAACCTATCTTCATTTAAATCCGTATTGCCGTTGTGCCCGAGCATAGCATAACGAGCAATAGAATGTTCTTTATAATGCACGGGGGAAAATCCCGCCTCAAATAATCTGCAAAACGTTAAGATACTGGTGTATATTAAGGTACACTAAAATCAAACAAGTAAAGAGTAGCAAAAATGCAAGAAAATGGATTTTCGAAAGATGTACTTGTACATAGTTAGAATGCCGGTGTGAAAGAAATGATAGTCCTCCTGGGATTATGGTCCCCTTTCTTGCTGCCGTTACTGGCCCTGATTGTGTATAAGATGATGAGGGAGAGTTGTATTAAGGTCACCATATAAAGCAATGGAGAGTAGGACCATACTTTGATAGGACCTCCTACCCTTTTACACCCGTTTCGAAGACATTCAATGATTTTTATTCTCATCCTTTTCTACAGTCAATCGGTTTTACTTATGAGCATGTACGAGTATATACCTTTGTCTAAAGTCGTCATCTTCCCCACCCCATCCGAAGAAAACGTTACTGAAACCATTCGAGTCATTAAATTGGTCACCTAGAACAGCCGATACGCCGCCAAATATTTCTTCATACGGTATTCTACAAAGATAAAATTTATTTATCCGTTGATCAACTAAAAATGCCATTTTCTATTAAGGTCAATTATTTACATTGATTTGATGAATATTCGTACCTGAACTGATGTGACTTCTTTTAAGATTAACCAACCCCTCCAAATGGACCATAGTGGTACAATCCAGCTTGTATATAAAAATAATATTAAGAAATACACCAACCTGTACTTGAACGTATCTACGGCAACAGAAAAGTGAGTTGGATTTTGCGAACACTTGTAGATCAAGCGATCGTTTTCTAAGAGTAGGTCGACGTCATGTAGTATTAAACATAGAGGAGCTTGTTTCCCATCGCTTAATGAAAGAGCTTCTTTGTATCCAATATTACATAACATTCCCCTGTTAAATGCGTGGGTATAATCCTAAAACAATGAACCTTGAGGTTTAGAATTATCCAAATGAACTACGATATAATAGAGATTAACATATGTACTACTGGGCACTTTATATGTTCAGAAAAATACAATAAAGCTTTGTAATCTGTACCTGACCTAAATCCATATTTCTATAAAGATGTAAATATCTAAGCACAAGTGCTAAAATTGATAGGATCTGTATATGCAGTTTAAAAAATGTCCATTGTGTCAAGAGAGTTTGCTATGCGTCATTGTTCTAAATCGTTCTTTTATTTCAAGTTGACCTGTACAGAAATCTAACAAGATACCAAACATCAAGGATTAAAAATGATACTCTATAGATTAAAAACGTACCTGCTCTACAACTATGATAGTGTAATCGAGTAGCTGTCTTTGAAGAATTTTAACATAATGTTCAATGAAATATTTAAGATGATCGTCTCGATCCCTAAATGGAATAATTATGACAGTTCTTTGTCTTGGTGGACACACGACTGGAAACCGGCGCCCTCTCCCATCAGTTTTGTATGTCGATTGAACCTCGATAGGTGGCTCCAAATTGAAATTATTTTGAGGTGGATAGTTCTTTCGAACTCTAAGTGGACCAACTGAAAATATTCGCAAGCTTTTTTGAAAAATGAGTTACGACTGAGACAAACATCTTACATTCCTATATAATTTATTTTGAAAGGTTTTAAAAATGTATACCTACCCAAGAAAAACCTATTTCTGAATTAGTCGTGTTGTATTTTTTATGCAGTTGTATACCTACCCCAATCTTTGTAAATGGCTGAGCAATTTTGTCCTGGAGTTTCCAAAGCATAATTTTTTCGTCTTACGAAACTGATATTCTGATTAACGATTCTTGGTTTTGCTTGAGATCCACCGAAAATCCTATGTAATAGTAAAACATCTGCAAATAATACAAAGTATACCAACGTCCGCCATCGAACCATCCGCTTAGTTCCTTTGCAAATTATTTTTTTAAACATTTTGAACATTTTTCAACTTCTTTCACTTAATTGATCTGAGTAGTAAAGTATTGTCTCCACTCTTAAAGCATTATCAATATGTTTCATATTTATGTTAGAATCAAAATAATTCAGCTGTTGGTCTTACTTTGTATAATTATTTCTTTATAAATAATCATGAAACATACATTAATTATTAGTATCCATGCTTGTACAGTGAGAAAAGTAGTGTATATCATCTTAAAATGAACGTTTGTCTTCGTTTCAGCTTGGTCAGACTTCCAAAATCTGATGAGAAGTTATGTTTCCTTGATTTTGTCAATTTTATTATTCAAATATCAACTTTTACCGTGTTTGTCAAATGTGTAGGTTAAATATCTTACCAGATGGGAGGCACATTTCAAAGAAATTAAAAAAAATCATAAAAACTAATCTTGGATTGTAGGTATTTAAGACTAATATGTTAGCTGATATATTTATAGTACAAAAACGTGTCGTTGTACCAATTTTAGTTATCAGCGATCTTCATTTTTCATTCTGTATCATAGATTCATTTCACATTTTATTTCCAATATCATTCTGGAATCCACCATTTTGATCGATCCCGGTACGATATAGTACCTCACCATGAATTTACTTTATTGCGAGAACAAGTCAGACGATATACGTTTTGCTGCTATTGAATATAATATCCATTACCCTGATGATACATGGATGACGTAATGACCCGAAAACGCCCCTGGGGAATGACTAACTTGCATAGTTTAACAAACCAGATATACAGAATTAAGAGTGTTCTAAATCCTATGTCTCGTGTGGGAATCGAACCTAGAACCCTTAGATCCAAAGACGAATGCTCTACCAACTCAGCTATAAATGCTTGATCCACTATAGCTGGCCAACTTGTCTTTACAATGTCATTCATATTGTGTCCTCTTTTAATTAAGTGGCATACTTACAAGAAACTCGAGCCGCCACGTGCACGTTCTTACAGTTAAATGTTGATCAGTTTCAAAACTAAACTAATCTGTCTCACTTAATTTATTTATTTTTCATACTTTAAAATCATTTTTCACAATATTGCAAATTTCAGGCAGTTCTGTTATAGTTTCGTTTATCTTCTTCGTATCAAAGTCTTCAAATATATAATCATTTGAGCAGCGCTGACAAATAGTGGAGGTGCTGAGATCGGTGGGTAAGCTGATTCTGATAAGAAGATAGTGTTTTTTGTATTGTTTTCCTAACACAGTGTACTCCATTGAATTAAGTCCATCACAATGGTATCTGTCATATCCCGTATGCAGCATACTAAACCTGAATGTAGAATAAAAGTTAAATTGTACGTAACCATGTGTACTGCGTGTGTTATTGTAAATCATTGGCGCACAAAATTCTTTATTTTATTGTGCACAATTCTTTTATTGGCGGGAATACCTTTGCAAAATCGCAAGTTAAAAGGCTTATGGCTTATATGGCACTGCTTTATCATCTTGAGAGAGTGTAAGTAGCCTAACTTATTTTGAGATTTTTCGAGAGTGATGAATGTCGCTAAAAATTCAATGGTTGTCTACTTTGATGGACACGGTCAGTGACACCTAATTGTTCATGACATCACACAAATGCAAGCTTCACAGTGTGATATATTAACAATATATTGACTTCGTGATGCCTTAAATGTGCATTTTATACATTCAAGTTGAATTGTATTAATGATTTATGACATCACACTGATTTTTGTCTCTGCAACTTTTTTTGGCAGAAAATATCATTTTTAGTCCAAAAATGCATAAAAACGTCAGAACTGGCAGAATATGTGAAAAATGTATCCATTTAGGCTTAGAAAGGGTTAATTTGCCCTACCCCAAATACGTCTAAATATGCTAGTCTAACGTTGCCACTGTGACGTCACAAATCTAACCTGACTTTCTCTGAGTTTATTGAAGAAAATGATACGTCTGACAAACAGCTTTCATTCCCTATATGGCATATCTTCTACTAAGAGTTGCGTCATTGACTAAATCTACGACAAAGGCCCTATGTCCCGAGGATTTTGACTGAAATTTGGCCATTTTCGCCCAAATCTAAGTAAATAGCAGTTTCCCCCACAGTTGTATTTTGCTACAATGTAGCAATTTAAAAATCACACATGCTTATTGTTTCTATTGACCTGACACGTGTATCTAGCCTTTGAAAATGAAAAATCGCTACATTGTAGCAATTTCAGTGAGATGTGGGCCTTCAAAATCATGTAATTTTAGCAAAAAATGAAGAAATAATCTGCAATTTTGACGGAATTTCAGAGGGCTTTCTTTCATTTATGACCCTCCACGGGCCTCTCATGACCATTCCTATACGCACAGAAGGGTTGAAAGTGATTTTAAATCATTGTTTGCCCTACGCAGAACGAAAAAATCGATTCTGTTCTCAAATTCTGCTAGAATATTGGTCTCTGGCCAACTAGCAGACAATTTTAGGCCTCATATTAAGGTATGAGTACCGTAATCCAACACCACCAAATTCGAAAATTCAGAACAATACTTTGCACATATGGCGTTCCTGATCAACTATAAAACGCTTACCCCCCATAGTGTTATATATCAAAATGTACCTGTTCATATAGGGGTTCGATTGATCTACATTAAATTATAGGGAGTCAGGCTAGTTTTTGAGATATCAGCGTCCATTTATTGTAACTCGCGTTTGCTACCATTTCCTCAATTCTGAGACGACGGGCAAACGCGTAGTAAACATGCTCACGTCGGAACTATTTTGACCTACATCGCTGTTTTCGTAATTCAAATGAAAGTTTAACTCCTCCTCTTTATTTTGATACCAAATAGTGGCATACTAGGTACCCTAGAAGCCAACTATGGCGTTATTTAGAACAAAACCACAAGTTTTTAAATGGACTATATAGGGGTCATACCTTATGGATATGGACCGACTGTCGACCAGTCACGTGACCAAAAGTCCGCCATTATTACCTTATATGGCAAATCATCAAAGCAACGATCACGACGTCATATGTTGTGTTTGTGATGAAGATATGACGTAATATAACATAAACTATGACAACTAAACAGACAAGAAAGCTAAACGTCACACATCACAATGTTTATTATATTTTAATTTGTGACGTCATTAACATGTTACCTAGCCAACAGAAAACAAGCAGTAAAATGTAGTTTGTTCATTGTCTTTCTCTGTGGTATTTCCATAAAAAGTGGATCAGTTTTGTCAAAATAACATTATGGCCTTCGTATTTTTCTAGTGTCATTTTCATTTGATTTTCTTGTTCAAATTTTGTTTCATACAAACCTAGCATCATTTATATCCGCATTGTTGTTGTGTTTGAGCATAGCATAACGAGCAATAGAATGCTCTTTATAATGCACGGGGTGGAATCCAGCCACGATTAATCTGCAAAACGTTGAAATACTGTTATATCATATAAAGGTACACTAGTCAAAGAAGGGATGGCAAAATTGCAAGCAACGGATTTCTCACAGATGTATCCTTTACTATTCAAGGTATCGTAAAAAGATACATGCCTATCTTATTGATTTGTCGTTTTTAAAGATATTATTGAAGACGTATCATGTATAGTTAAAACATTGATTTTCAAATCTACATTAAAATAATTCTATGACTAAAAAGGTTAAGGTTTTTAGTGATCATCGGCGTTTAGAAATTCTCCAAAATCAAGATAGCCGTCATGAAAAAGTATATCAAGTTTCAGAGGAGAACTTGGAATTCAATAGAAGGGGTCCGAAACTTGAACTGAAAAATCGATTTGAATGCATACAGGAAAAACAATTGGGCCCTTTTAAAATAAATGGTTCCGAAATTTGAAGTTGAGACCGACTTTTTGGAATTAGGCACACATTTAAAAAATAATGCCCATTCATGTGTTTGTTATATGCTTTTCTTTTGTTCTTTGGGGAGTGTGCCCAAACATTTTTTGCTGGCATCTATTTTCTTAGGAGCCCATCTTCCCCCTCCCATGTCAGCCAGTGAGTTTAATCCATCTCAGGTATTGTAACTTCGTTATACTTACAAAATTAAGAGCATTCATGCTAGACTGTGTTTAATATCTTCCCATATCGACAGTAAGAATGTTCTATGACTTCTACTCTTATTACGTACCTTTACTTTACCTCGTTGATTTGTAGTACTAATGAGTGTATACCTTTGTCTGAAGTCGTCATCTTCACCGCCCCATCCAAAATAAACGTTACTGAAACCATTTGAATTGTAAAATTGGTCACCGAGAACAGCCGATACGCCACCAAATATTTGTTCATAAGGTATTCTACAAAGACAAAAGTTATTTTTTGTAGGTCGGTCAACTACCAATGACTTGATATACTAAGAAATGTTCACATTCGATGGATATTCCTACCTCAACTGATGTGACATTTAAGATTAACCAACCCCTCCAAATATACCGCTGGAGTGGGATCCACTTGGGATAAATAAAAGAAAAAAATACACCAACCTGTATTTGAACTTATCTACGGCAACAGAAAAGTGAGTTGGATTTTGCGAGCACTCGTAGATCAAGCGATCGTTTTCTAAGAGTAGGTCGACGTCATGTAGTATTAAACATAGAGGAGCTCCGTTCCAATCTTTCAATGAAAGAGCTTCTTTGTATCCGATATTAAATAACAACCCCCTATTAAATATGTGACTATAATCCTGAAACAATGAACCCAGTGGCTTGAAATTATCCAAATAAACTACAATAACAATTGATTCAGTGTCAGATATACCACTCGGCATCATCTTTGACTCATTTAGATCAGGTAAATTATCAATTAAAGTTCTAGAAGGTACGATTTTGTAGAAATACTCAAACAACATCATCTGTAACATTAACAGTATAACATTGATTGGATGCACTAGGCTTTCATTTTTGAATTGAATACAATTCTACCTATTTTTGAAATTGTATTGAGTTTATTTGAATATTATTAATTGTTGATTAATTTCAAACAGATCAGTACACAATCTCGCACAGTACAGGTTTTATATTTAAAACATACTATAGTATCACCAATAATAATTAAAAGTGAAACTTTGGATCGTAAAAACGTACCTGCTCTACAACTATAATAGTGTAATCGAGTAGCTGTCTTTGAAGAATTGGAATATAATGTTCTATGAAAATGTTAAGATGATCGTCTCGATCCCTAAATGGAATAATTATGACAGTTCTTTGTCTTGGTTGACACACGACTGGAAACCAGCGCCCTCTCCCGTCAGTTGTATATGTCGATTGCACTTCGATTGATAGATCCGAATGTAAGTTATTGTTAGGTGGATAGTGCTTCGGAACTCTAAGTGGACCAACTGAAAATAATCGTAAATCTAAAATTAAACCTGCCCCTGACAAACATGTCACTAACGTGTTGTCAAAGAAGATAAATCGCCTCTTTTCAAAGATGAGTTATGTTGAATGAATGTACAAAAATACACCTGTAAGTATAGTTCTGTTCAAGAATTTTACAAAGGTCCATATGCAGTATGACAAGTGATTTGAGACGGTCATATCTTTCACCATAAGTACTTTCTGGGCATAAATACAGTTTTTTTTATTAGAACAGTATGTTTTCTTTCAAGTGAAGTCCCCATGATCAATGATAAAAATATCAATCGAACAATTCGAAAAAGCATACATAGGGAGTCGTGATCCCACGTCAATAATATTTTCAGAATGTTGAACTTATTTGCTCAAAAGAGGATCTTCTTTTCTGATTTTTATTGCATGAAAACAGTATTCAACAAGGGGTTTAAAACATCTTCAAAAGTAGAATGGTATTGAAAGTCTAGTTTTGAAGATATCAAGTTTCGATTGCCAAAAGCATGCTGAAAACAATGGATAGCATGAGTTTTCCTTATGGAAAATAACATGGGAAATGTGTTTTTTAACTTTATCGCATTTTAATACCCATCCCCTTTTCAGAAGTTATTAATATAGTGTAGCAGAGACTTTTGATACATTTGAATTGAGAAAAACAAGATCATCTTTTTAGAAAATAAGCCTTACATTTTTAAAAAAAAAGTGACAAGGTGGGGTCATATTCCATAATTTTTCAGAGAGTTGGATTGATATTTTAGTATCAGGGGGACTTCACTTTAAAAAAACATATTTTTCTAATAAAAACCACTGTATTCATACCCAGAAAATACTCATGGTGAATGATATGACTGTCTAAAATCACTTGCCATACTGCACATGGACCTTTTGCCTAAATCCTGTAAATGGTTAGTATGCGAATGTATACCTAAACTTCCCAAGTCGTGTTGAATGGTAATGCGAATGTATATCTACACTACTATATACCCAAGTCCTGTCGAATGGATATGCGGGTGTATATCAACACTACCCGAGTCCTGTTGAATGGTTATGCGAATGAATACCTACACTATATATCACTTTGGAAACCTATAACTTTTTTTGGCTGTTAACTGAGATATTAATTTTTAATCGTTTTTTCTTAACATATTAAGCAAATACGAATTCAAACATAAATAGGCCTTTTAACACGTAATCCAATGGGGAGTTAGGGCTGCCAAACCTTGGGAGGGAGTATAAATTGTATGTATTAATACAAAAAATGCATTTATGTGAAGAACCCTAATTAATAATGAAGGGGGGGGGTTGAATAACATAAAAAATAGAACCCCTGGTCACCAAATCCTTACTACGCCATTGTTACATAAAAACTAACGATTTGTGTCTTATCTAATATATTGATGGTTCGATTGCAGATACTTCAAATAGCCATTTTCAAATACGTTTTTCATTACATCTTCATTATTTCAAAGTATTTAACGGTTTGATATTTGAATAAATAGTAGGCTACGTGAACATATATATACACTATACCCGAATCAAATTGGTACTATTCGATTACATTTGCGCCTTATAAAAATAAATAAATAAGGTAATTCTCAAATTATAGATATCGAAAATATCGACGAAACCTTGGAGTACGCGAAAGAGATACATAATGGAATAACTGTAGTCGCTTTTCTCTGTGAACTGGTATGATAATGGAAGGGTAGCATATTATTGAAAACTGGTAAAAAATCTTGATTTTAGTTTTGATTGAGTTACATAAAGAATTTGGTTTACAATAAAGTCATGTCGTATAATATACAGTCATGCAGCATATTTTAATTAGCATTTAACAGGTTGCAACCTTACATACATGTATCTTTTTAATTTTCCGAAGTACACATGTAATAGCTAATTTGGATAATGTTGGTATATCAGAAGCGACGGCAGTTGATTTGATATCTTCTAAAAGCTTATTAAATACGTTTAGTACTTCGAGATATAAATTATTAAATCATATCAACATTAAATGACCTTGCAAGACTGAAGACTAGTAGGTCGGTATTTATTAATGGAGAGATGCATGAACCACGTAGCAAAACTATAAGTGTATTTCAATGGAAAACTGTGCTTTTCGCAATGTTATTTTTGAATGTTTTATTCGTTTATCATTTTGTTGGACGTCTCAAAATAAATATTTTACCGGATCGTAAAGACACTGGATTATTGTATTATACTATTAAGAATGTCGATCCAGGAAATCGAGTTAAAGCACACAACCCAGCACTTAATTCACACTTAGCACCGAAAAAGAATTCAAAATATTATAATATGGGAATACATGGACACAACTGCACAAAAACCCGGCAACATTTTGGTAAGTACACAATTATCAATTTGCCATTTTTTGGTAATCCACTGGATTATTTGAAGTTCTCAAATTGAAGCCATGTCTATATAGATTATTGATGTATAGCAAATCTGTGTTCTCGTTTCAGTCGTTGGGCAAACAGTTCATAAGGAAGCGAAAAACAGCAGTTCGAAGACTCTGCTCAAAACTGGGTCACAACCGGAAGTGCTTCCAACGTATAGTACTGATGGTAGAGGGCGTTGGTTTCCAACTTCCTGTAAAACTAAGCAAAGAACCGTCATTGTGATTCCGTATAGGGACAGAGCTGATCATCTTAAAATATTCATCGAACATCATGTTCCAATTTTTCGAAGACAGTTGTTGGATTACACTATTATTGTCGTAGAGCAAGTACGTCAAAACTTAAATCTCAGATTTTACGCAGATACAGGAAAAAAGTCATTACATTTGTACCGATGCTTATATTAACATGTTCTAAAAAGTTAATGTATTATTATCATTCGCATTCAGCAAGTAATTATCATCCAATAAAGTCATCATATAAATTTCGTATAAATTTTTATTTTATCAAATTATTCTCTATGCCAAAATGTAACTTATTCATAAATCATTAATTTAACATTGGTTAAATTCCAATATTCTGATTGGTCATTATTGCACATAATATCACAGAAACAAATACCACAATTACAGTATATTATTTTTCAGGATAACAGCAAAAGATTTAACAGGGGGATGTTATTCAATATTGGATACAAAGAAGCTCTTTCATTGAGAAATGGGAATCAAGCTCCTCTATGTTTAATACTACATGACGTTGACCTACTTTTAGAGAATGATCGCTTGATCTACGAGTGCTCGCAATATCCAACTCACTTTTCTTTGGCTATAGATAAATTTCAATATAGGTAAGATAAAACCTTTTTTCCAAAATGACAATTATGTAGTGTGGACATAATTGATTATGCTTCTTTTAGACCTGCTGGTGTCAATATTATTGCCTTTATGTACTCTCCCCTCCAAAAGTTTCGCAACTGAAAGTCCCATCTGTATTACCAATTAAAGCCTGGTCATGCGTATTTTTCAAATTTCGATTTAAGCATATTTTAACATTCTTGCTATTGACTTGCAAAAGGGGGTATAGGTTACCTTGTTTCTATTCTTGATAGTCCCACGTAACTTCCTGTGGATGATTAAGTTTACATTGTATATTCTATCAGTTGATTCCATTCATAGACAAGTAATTTTACGAGAGCTGTGCTGAAGCGTATTTTATTTTTTATCAGTTTACCATATGATTGGCTATTTGGTGGTGTAGTAGCGTTGCTAGGAGACCAGTTCGAGGAAACAAACGGCTTTGGTAACCTCTTCTTTGGATGGGGTGGTGAAGATGACGATTTCAGAGAAAGGTATCATGCGAGTTTAGCATTTTTATTTAAGATGTATTAAGCAATTCAGGCAAAAACAAATTTAATTTCAATGCATTTTTAAAATTATATTAGTTCAAACGACGGGCTATTTCCTGAATGGTTCGTTCCATGAATCTAGTTATGTTCCCCGTGCAAAACGTACGATAATGTTTTTATCCTGTTATTTTGACAGGTTATCGTTTGCTTGACTGTTCCCTGTACAATACGATAATGTTATATATTTGGAATGCTATTACTTTGACAGTTAACACTACTGTTTGGTTGGCTGTTCCTTGTACAATTTGTTCGTTGTATCTGTTATTCTTTTACAGGTTATTTTATGCTGGATTGTTCCCCGTACAACATGATAAGGCCATAAGAAGTAGATTCTTTGTTTTGCGTCCTGGCAAAATCCAAATCATGCAAGGGTACAAGGTAAACAAACACAAACTCAAGAAAAAACACAAACTTGTTTATG